TTAATTGGACCGATGAGAAACAATTACAAAAAAAAAAAAAAATCAGGCAAATAAAATATCTTTAGACGCGAAAAAACTTAAAGCTAAATAAATTACATTTAGAACAAATATTTTCGAAACATCGCTCTTTTGTAATTTTTTTTATAAAATTAAGCGATGTTTTTTATATAAAGTGACAACTTGCGATTGTTTAATAAAGAAACAAATGCTCTTTATTTAGCTAAGTTCGCAAGTTTTAGTTTTATTTAAGCTAAATTATTTTATAAATAAAAAAGTTAATTTTTTCAATACCTATTTTATGTTTCGCGTAGTTTGAAAAGTTTAACATATTTGAAGCAATTCTTTTTAGTAAGATAAACAAATGAAATAATTAAATCATTGAATTACTATAGAAATTAAATTAACAAGATAGAAATCAACTAAAAAGGTTAAAAATACTTTATGACGAGGAAGCGAAACTGCTTCACAATATCGCTGATGATGTTTAGTGAGTGGGCTTTTTAATTTTAATTAGTATTTAAAGCAGAAAAAAGTATAACAAGTTTCAAGGATGGCAACTTAAGCGAAAATAATTAGAGTTGGTAAACCAATATATAGAAACTTTTCTTTATATCTAATTATTTGCTATATATATATTTGTGTTCTGTCGTGACCTCAGGCGCAGTGCTTGTTCATCCGCGAGTTACTTTGAATGCGTTGTTTGTGTTTAGTAACCAGAAACTTCTTATATGTTTGTTACATAATTAGTTTTATTAACTATAACGATTATAACTTCATTGAAAACGCAATTATTTTTGTAAGTCTTTGTTCAAATCATAAAAATTGCTTTAAAAGATACATTACGATAAAAAACAGATACACAAAATTACATTTACATAAAGAATACATACTTTTTAAATAAAAAAATAAGAATTTACTAATAAAATCTATAATTTATAATAAACTTTTGAAATTTTGACAATTTAATATATATTTAAAATATTTATTTTTGTAAACAAATAATATAAATTTTTAAAACAAGCAAACTAGAAATCTCAAAACGTAACAAATCGTGAATATGACAATTTCTAAAACATTTCAACAGGATACTCTAAAACTTTATTTTGCTAAGTCAGCGTACTTTTTGAACTAATAGAATTAGTTTCTTCGTTAATTTAGCGAGTTTTTAGTGTTCGCGAATATTTTTTTTATTCTTTCGCACAAAGATGTTTTGAGAACATTCAAGTTTATTATGTTTCCATGTATGTCCGTAAAACAAAATTTTTTTGTTTCGTACATAAACTTAAATGTTCTCAAAACGACTAAAAAACCTGGCCAGTTTTTCGCAACTAAATATAATTTCCGTGGTCAGTATTCAAGAGCGATCGCTCCCGCTTCCCAACCAAGCCTGATATATATATATATATATATATATATATATATATATATATATATATATATATATATATATATATATTATATATATATATATATATATATTATTTATAGTTATTATATTTTTTTATATACTTTAAATGAAAAATATTTTTATTTTTGTATTTATTTTTTAAAGAAAAGTTATTTTAATGTTTTCAACCAAGATTTTTTTTCTTTTATCTGAAATTTTAGATGATGATCAGGCGATGATCGCAACCAGTAAATTAGTTAGGCTATCTTCTTTGTTTCTGAAAGTTTCAATTAAGTCTTGACTGTGTTTAAATAGCACGTTCTGCACTGTCATTTACAACAAGAAGACCAGTGACATCTAATATAACCCAAAAATGTTTTCCAGTTTGATGATTTGATTTTCAGCCATTCTGTCTTTTGTAAAGTCATTTTTAATAAATCAAAGAAAAACCAGCTTTCAGGACCAATAAAATCTTCAATTTTTTTTTTTGTTTCTTTTTTTTTTATAGTCAGTAAAAATTTTGGAACTCAGTTTTCCCATCATATAACTGGTAGACATTTCTGTTTGATCTTAAGAGCTTATGTAGCTAATCTACAGGTAAACATTTATCAGCAAGACACATAACCACAAATCTTTTATTTAAATACCAATTATGTTTTTTAAGTGACTTCAGTACGGTTTTAGACAGAATTTCTGCTGGTTTTAGACAGAATTCAGAACATTGTATCATTTCATCAAAGCTTATAGATCTAAAGAAGGTGCTATGGCAGGGATAGGAGCTTTAATAAACCATAGAACATATAATAGTGATGTAAATTAAGCGATTTCATAAACTAGCTTTCCCTCTTAAAATGATATTATATTAGGACATAAGTTACTGAATTGTAGCTGAAGAAGGTCGTGTGTTAAATAACTAACTTGCTGTGTCATAAACCTGGCATGATGCAAAGCCATTGGAAATCTAAAGTGAAAATTTTTTACTTTGGCACCTAGCCAAAGAGCTGCTAATTGTATAAAATACTTGTAGTCATTTTTTTAAAACATTATATCGAGGCAATTTTGAAGGAATGTTAATGATTCAGAAACCTAAATTAAAAAAAAAAATTATTATTAAAACTTATCATCAAACACATTAATCTAATTAGGACAATTAAACCAACCTGCTTTTCCAAAAAAGATACAGTTTTTTTTTATCTGAGTCAAATCTCTTTAGGTTATCATAATTTATCTTCTTCTCAAGAATCAATTTCCAATTTCACTTCAGCCTTTCAAATAACTCAGTCTTTGGTACACTTGTTTTACCACTTGCAAGAACACTTGAAAGGTGCTGAAATAAATTTATTTCAAATCATTTAACTAAATTTTAATAAAACGGTGAATCATATAATTCATTGAGAAATATTCACAATTAAATATATAAGTAAATAATATTTTATGATAAATATATAGATAAAAAATATATAAGTAAAAAATATTTTATGGTTTTTTCATTATTTACCTTAATATGTAATTCATAAACATGATGACCATGAAGCCATCCAAAGCAAAACTCTTCCTCTCCACTGCTCAATTAGAATACAGACTCTTTTTAGCCAACCAGTATTTGTGACTGTGGTGTTGAAGGACAATCAACATAGTCAAATAGCTCCCAGTCTTTTTTAATTACTTTTCCAAGAGACTCAGCAGTGCCATCTTTCACAATTAAAATACCCAAAAGTTGGGATTCTGAAAGATCTGATTAGTACAGCTGCTCTTTTAAGCTTTTCTTTATCAAGTTCTTTCATTTCTACCAAAATATCTGAGTCAAAATGCAAGGTAAGACTTTTACCCTTAGCCAATATAACAAAGTTGTCTTTAATTTTACCAGCAGTTTTACTTAGACTTAATTTTTTCTGTCTCAAAATACTTTGTTCAGAGTTGCACTCAGTGCAGTAGAACTTATTCCATATCATGATGCTGTTAATCTTTTTCTATATTTTTTGGAACAATAGGAGGAACAGTATTATATTTTTTAATTTTTCTAGAAGGCTGTAGATTATGTTCATCTTGGTCATTATCTAAAGTATTTAAAATTTCTGTTGTGTTTTCGAATTTCTCAGTAACCAACTCTTTCTGTTTTCTCATGGACTCTTGTACTTTTTTTATTTTTTTTATTTCTCTATTTGTTTTGTTTTTTACAATTTTTGTGAAACTTCATCTTTACCTAACATTTTCTGAACACGCAGCCCTTTCTGGTCATTAAGAAAATCTACATCTTCTTTTCTAGTTTTTTAATCTTTAGTTTTATCTTTCATAATAATATCTTCACAATTGTTTTAACTTACATCAAATACCTCCTCTAGCATTCTTGAAAAATTTTCTCTTTTTAAAACTAAATTTGTACTTAAATGGTTTCTGCGTTTGTTTAAATCTTTTTTCTTCTTTTTTAAGTCAACAATCTTGTCTCAATCAATCAAACAATCTTGTCTCAATCAATCAAACAATCTTGTCTCTAAAACGAAACTAGAAGAAAAGTAGAGTATAAAAGTGTCCAGCTCGATAAAAAGATGCAACCTTAGCAGATGCTGATTTTGCAACGGATTTTATATATTGTTTTCAAGAATGATCAGAAGTAAGAGTTAATCCTAAAAGATGAAAGATAGACAACTCATAGATTACATTATTGTTCATAAATATAGGAAGATCTAAATTATTGCAATAACGATTGACTGAAAAATTAAAGTTCACCAGCCACTGTGAGCCCCATGTTGTAGCGGAAGTGAGATCCTTTTCAAGCTTAAATACCCCCTCCAAGCAATCAGAGAGTATTGGCTTTTTATCATGACAAGAATAAATGGTAGGTTCATCAGCGAACAATGCCACCTTAGATGTGAGAATATCTGAAAGATTGTTAATGTAAATTAAAAAGAGTATAGGGCCAAGAATTGAATCTTGAGGAACCCCTGAAGTTACAGAATAGGAGAAGAGTGCTGTCCATCGAGGACAACTTTTATACTATGATTGGAAAAGAAGGATTCAATAATCTTAAAGATGTTTCCAGATACAACGTAAGAAGAAAGCTTATGGAGAAGACCAGCATGCCAAACTTTATCAAAAGCTTTAAAAATGTCAAGATATGTATATATATAAATTTTACTATTAGAAATAATAATCTTATAATTAAAAGGCAAACTGAATGATATTTATTTATTATATATACTTTTAAAATATTATAATTAATTGAAAGAAAATGAAAAAAAAAAACTCTTCAAACTTTAAACATTACCAAAAATGCATAGTCTTACCCCAAAAATAAATAAAAAATTGGTTTAATTAACAAAAATCTAAAGGAAAGCATTTTGAATTTATCAAGCTTTGTTAATGATAAAACCAACAAGTATTTAATCAGAAAAAGTTTTTCTGGCTGTTGGCATATTTTGTACCCAAATAAAGTCTAGCTTGGATGATGAATCATAAGAGATTCTGAGAATGTAGTATTAACATAACAAAGCTGAACTAGATAAACTTAATTTTTTTTTTTTAATTTTAGTATAAACTATGTTTCATTATTCATACTTATTATTGAATTTATTTATTTAACAATGTGCACAGTATTTAACACTAATATATTTACCTCCTAAAATAATTTCTATATCTTGACATCTTGCTTGGATTTCTTCTTGAACAAGATAATCATCAATTAGGTAGCAACTGCTTAAGTCAAACAACATTAAATCTTGTAAATGAAGTAAGCATTTTGAAACTCCTATGACAAACAATATAAAAAATCTATAATATTCTTTTTTTTTTTAAATTTAAACTACTTTAGTACATTAAAAATTTCTTTCTATATTGCCTTTGTTCAACCAATATTCTGTAAGCACAAGATCAACTTCCATTAAAGCAATATTTTTAGAATATCTTTTTTTGGGATTATTTTATAGTCTTATTATTTTATTGTAAATTTTGTTACCCTTCTTATAAAAGAATAATATAAATATTATATATAAAAGAATAATTAAATGTTATATATAAAAGAATAATATAAATATTATATATAAAAGAATTATATAAATATTAGTAAATATAAATTAGCATTTTAATTTAAATTTTATTGCAATTACTGTGTACGATAAAATTATTTACTTTCATTTTTTTTCACTGATGTTCTTCATTAAAGTTAAAAAAAAAATTTTTTCTATAATATAACATAGAGATATATTATATAATATAACCAATTGTTACCATTGTACTAATTAGGTAAGAAATCCTAATTAAAAGAACATAAAAAACAATTATAAGAAAAAAAAATGCAGTTTAAATAAGCATGTGGCACTAATACTTTGAAGATATCACATGAGCTTTAAATGGTGTTTGTGGGTTTTACTGGCTGACTTATTACTCACTTTAATAAAATTTTAGTTAAAATTAAGAAGATAAAAATAAAAAGTAAAAAAAAAAAAAAATAGTATATTTGTATCTGACATGATTTCATCCTGAAAACTATTAAGTTATTTTCAAATAAGTTAAAAAAAAATAAACAATTACCATTGTTTGTAAGTTTAATGCAGCACCTAACAAGTAATGTATTAAGTTTGTGAAGAAATGAAACACTTGAAATGCAAGTATCACATACCTAAAACAAGAACAATGAAATAAAATAAACAATAGTAATCTAAAACAAAAACATGTATGACATAAATTTATAATATAAATATTTTCTAGATTAAAACTAAATTACTTAAATTGAAAGAAAAATGAGTTACAACAAGGTGAATGACTTACATCATTAATATAGCTAATATTGAGCTCAACTAAACTGTCGTAGTAAGCGAGTGCATTTATACCAGCACATGTCAGATTGGGATGACATGATTCAATATTTAAAGATCTAGATATAAAAAAAATATTAGCAAAAATCAGTTGTACAGTGACATTAACATAAATTTTTTTCAGATTTTTAGTTATGTAATAACTTAAAATCTGAAAAAAATTAAAAATCAATTTTATTAATTTAAAAAGTATAATAACAAAAAAAGTTTAAATAGTTAAAAAATTCTAATAGTAAAACTAAATAAAATTATAAATTCTGTTACCAAGGTTACTAAACATTCAAACCGTGAAGAAGATTTAACATAAACAATATAAACTAAACAATTCGTTCAAGAACCAAAACGCGTCTAGCGTCTGGGGAAATCGTATAAAAAAACGAAAAATCGTATAAAAAAGACGAAAAGAAGAGAGAAGAACGAGAAGATAGTTGGTTGAAGACGATGAGCAGTTTATTAGAAGTTACTAGTCGTTTATAAGTTGGACAATACTTGGGTGTTGGCAACTAATACTACTCGTTTTAGCTATTTATTTTAATTTTAAATAAACAATTGAGTAACATTGTTATTGCATAATATATTATGTAACAATTCTTCATTTCATAACGACTAACAGTATTCACTTTTATAAATATTGTGTCAGCTAGCCTACGTACACATTTTATATAGATTTTCTTGGTTGAAAAATCAATCTATTTTTTAAGTTTATTTAGATTTTTAACTTATCAGTTTTTGTTGAACACTAATCTTATAAGTTTAGACCAAAAATCTTCGTTTGGATTAGTGATGTAAATTTTCCAGTAAAATTTGATGCAAAATTTACTGGTAAAATTTACTGGTAAATTTTAATTAGAGAATGGTAAATTTTCCTTTAAAAAATTAAAAAAAAAAAATAAGTGAAAAAATTTTTTTAAATTTACCAGGCGGTAAATTTTCAAAATTTTCCCATAAATTGACTGGAAAATTTTACCTTCGCAACACTAGTTTGGACATAATTCTGACACAGTAGGGTTGTGCTCTTTTGGTTCAAATTGGATATTTTAGGAATCAAGATTTATTTAGCCTTATACTTATGTGATTAATGTAATAAAGCAAAATCATGTCAGAAAATGATATTATTTTTATGATATCTTTAAGTAAATTACTTTAATCTGACAAGATATTTTTAATTATACACATTTTCATTGATGACTTGGCCATATTGAGCAATATAATGCTGGGAGATTCTTTTTGTCAAGAATGCAAACAAGAAATTTTGGCCTCAATTTGGCTATTCTTTTCAAATTTTCATCTTTTTTTTTTTTGCTGAATTTTTGCCATTGGAATTATGTCCAACATTTTCAAAAATATCGGTGATGCTCAAATAAAAGTACAATTTTTTTTTCTTTAAAAAAATCCAAATTAATCTACAGTTATTCAAACAAACTGCTACTTTTTGCACCTTTTTTTTTTCCAGTTTTTTATTGACAATTTTGCATGTGTGATACATTTTTGCATATATACTATTGTGATAAATTAAACTATTTAGCAAAGTTTATAGCAATAGTATAATTTATATCATATCATCATATCATTATATCATGCTGTAAAATATCATCTTTGATCAATCGCTTTTTAAAACTCTTTATCTGATTTGCAACATTTTTTTGCTTTGCAACCACTTTCCCAATTTTCTTTTTTTTCTTCTTCTTACTTTTAGTATATTATACATAGTTGCTTTTTGATATTTTTCACAATGAAGCTTTTATTCTCATCTGAATGGAAATCCAAAAATGAATATACTATTTTGCTAAGGGAATCTTTGTGTTGCATGTATTATTACTTGAGTATTTTAAAATTTTTGTTTAATACATATAAGAAATAAAATTTTTAACAAAATAGAAGTGATTGCAGGTATATTAAATTATTCATCTATACTTTCATAGTTATAAAAAGTTTAGATGTTTAGTTATGGGTTTTAGTTAAAGGTTTATCTATTTAAATATTAGTGGATAAATTATTTTAAATAATTGGTTGACAATGGTGAACATCGGTACATTGGAATCGATCAGCTGGTTAGTTTTAAGCATATCCATAAGCTTTTTGTTTTTAAAACATTTTAATCTTCTTTTGTTATACATTCATAATTCATCAATCGTCAAAATTATAAAAAATAAAACTATTACATTAGGATTCACCATTTGGCCTCAAATACTTTTAGGTTGGCAGTCAGGTTAGGATTACCAAATGGTGACATTAATTCTAAGGGCTGATACATATATACATACATAGATATATATGTATTATATATGTATCATCATATGTATATATATATATATATATATATATATATATATATATATATATATATATATATATATATATACATACATATATATATATATATATATATATATATATATATATATATATATATATATATATATATATACACATATATATATATATATATATATATATCAACCCTTGGAATTAGGAAAAAGGAGGTCAGCAATAATTTGCCAACCTCAATCTTTTTGAGGTTGGCAAAAATTATTTGATACAAAGGTCTGACCATAAAACATAGAAACGAGGTTGACAATTCTTTGCTGCCCTCAAACACTTTCAGGTCAGCAGTTAGGTTGGTATTGACCCTAATTCTGAGGGTTGATATATATATTTATAAGGGTTGATATATATATATATATATATATATATATATATATATATATATATATATATATATATATATATATATATATAATATATATATATATAAGGGTTGATATATATATATATATATATATATATATATATATATATATATATATATATATATATATATATATGTATATATATATATATATATATGTATATATTCATATGTATATATGAATATATACATATATTCATATATACATATATTATATATATATATATGTATATATATATATATATGTATATATATATATATATATATATACATATGAATATATATATGTATATATTCATATGTATATATATATATATATATATATATATATATATATATATATATATATATGTGTATATATATATATATATATTTTTAAGTCATATTTATGCTTCGGAAAGTTACGGTTTTACTTATTGTCGCATCATAAAAAAATTATCATTGTAAAATGTTATTTTAACCATGAATTTATTTGCGTAATCTGAATTAATTTAGTGTAAAAATGGAGCTAATATGTTCAATTTGTTGCTGGTCAGATTTTATAATTTAAAAAATATATATATTTCAAAAAAATAACAAAAGAATTTTTGTAATTTTCATGTAAGTTTTGGTTTTTTCTATAATTTTGTTAAAAAATTTAAATTTTTTAATAATATATGCAAAAGAATAAAATATTAAATGATCTGTTTTTACATTTAAAGTTTTGAATAACGATGCTTAATTAACGTACATGTTAATTTTAAATTTGTGTAACATAAAATAAAATTACATGTGTTTACTAAAGTTCTGCATACAAAATGAACAATTACACTTTTACGTAATTCGTATTTGATTAATATTTTTGTTTTAGTATTACTAAAGTTCTTGCATACAAAATGAACAAAAATTACTAAAGTTCTTGTAACAAAATTACTAAAGTTCTTGCATACAAAATGAACAATTGCACTTTTATGTAATTCGTGTTTGATTAATATTTTTGTTTTAGTAAACAAATTGTGTGTAAATGCAACTAAGGGTATTGTCCATAAAGTATGACACCCTATATTTATCAATTTTTACCCCCTTCCCTCCTGTCACAAACAATCACATATTCCTGCACCTTTTCTCCCTCATAAACTGTGATAGCAGTTTATGAGGGAGAGAAGAATATTTTAAAAGATTTAAAGATTTAAAAGAATGTTTAAAAAGATTTAAATACTTTGCAACATTTTAAAAATTCAACCTAATAAAAATAAGGCAATACGCATAAAAATAAGAAGTGTGAATAAAAATTTCGACAAACTAAAAGATTTTCTTATTTAAATGACTTAATAAGTAATAATAAAGTTGTCATACTAAAGTCATTTTTTAAAGTTGCTCTTGGTCTTGTGGAAAAAACTGTTTCCGATATGATAACTTTTATAAATGTTATGAAAAATCACTCAGGAAGTGAAGCCACAAATTTTATAAATTTTTTTGTTTTTAATTACTTTTGATGAATGAAAATAATTTCTTTTGATGAATGAAAATACTTATGCAATTCTTTTGTTACATAACTCTAAAAAATCTAACTTCTAATAATAGATATAAAAAATCCAGGATAATAAACGTTCGGTAACGTAAGTCAGGTAAGGTAAGTTAATAATATATTATCAAAAAAAACAAGTTTATTTTTCTTAACCGGTCACCTCTGATGAATTTGTATAGAATTGGTATAGAATTTTCAACTTTAAGGACAGATCAGTGATAAATTAATTAGCTTAACAGAGGGGAGATGATAAACATTATGCCAGCCACAACTTATCTTTTAAACATAAAAAACACTCAAAAGACACTATTCTGTCTAAATATATTTGCCAACTAAAAGAAAAATAAACCAATTTAATTTTAAATTAAATTGGTCTGTTCTAAAAACTAATTTTTCTAAAAAGTATGTTTCCGAAAAAATATTTTCCTATATACTACGATCTTCCTGATAGCTTTGCTCATAAGATAACACACTGACAATAGTAAAATTATCAACATCATAAATTATAAATTGAACATCGCAACACTTCAGACAGACATTTACAGTGTGGTTATATGGTTATGGCTTATGCTTGGCTTATGCACTTTAATGTCAATAAATGTAAAGTGATGCATGTAGGTTGTCCAAAGAAATGTTCAACTTATGAGTACTTTACGAGGAAACATAATCCAGCTGTTCAAGATACTCAACAACATCGACAAAATAAATTTTTTATCCCACATTGCCAACTGATTGGATACAGTGTATATAATTTGCGCAAACATGACAAGCAGCTCCAATATCAGTTTGTAAGAGGATGCAAAGAGAAATCCATAACCATATAACCACACTGTCAATGTCTGCCTGAAGTGTTGCGATGTTCA